CCTCCCCTACATAGTAAAATAAATTTCAAATGTATGTCTTGTATTTTCCGTTCTTTACAATAATTATCAGTAAAGTATTGTAATTATTGTTACAAAATATATTGACATTTTCTCTAATTAACAAGAAATGGACAACATTTATAGGATTTCTTAATTTACTTCAGATTAATTTACTACAGATTAAAATTTGTTTGACATTTGACGAATTTGACGAATTTAATAAATCTTGATCCATTGACAGATTCTATAAAATAAATTAAATTAATTAAATTAATATTCTGTGAAATATAAATTAAAAAATTCTGTCTTTCATTTTTCTTTAGTAAACTACATGGATGAAGTTGGGGTAATTTGGACACTACCCTATTTTACTTTATAAGCTCCTCACAAAAATTAGAGGGCTTGATTTTTCTTAAAAAATAGGTAAGATTCAAGCAGCTGTAACTTCGTTAAAAATAAACAAAATTTAAGTTTAAAAAAAGGATTTTAAAGCTTAAAATTTTTACTTTCGAAAGGTTACTTTATTATTTTTTAGTTTCTGTGAGTTTAGTGATTTTTACATATAGAAAACTACGAGCTGGACAAAATGGAAAATTTTCTTCTCACTTTGTGGGCCTGTCACGTGCACAAAAAAATCTACGAAAATTTTCGACTTTGTAACGCGAAAGCTTGAAGTTTTCCGTACAAAATCTTTTTTTAAAAATGTTTCTGTGATTTTTTGTTACTGAGTTATCGCGGATTGAATAAGAAATAAGCTACCGTGTATACTGAAATGAATAACCCGCTACCCGTTTCAAAATACGGGTACCCGTTATACCCGCGTCAGTACAGGTACCCATATCGAGGCGGGTATAACAGCGTATGCTACAGATATGTGCACGGCGTATTACACGGAGACGCGTATACGCAAAGTAATAAAATATAAATTCTCACACGCTTCAAGAATATATTAAATATATGAAAGAATGCTTTTATATTAACCCTCCGTTTTTTCAGTACCTTCTTAATTAGTGCATACATGAGTCTGTCATGTCCAACGCTATTTTCCCTACCTTAAAGTATTTTAAAAAATCTGAAAAAATTTACAAAACATCTGTCTACATTGTAGTTGACAATTTTATAATCTTTTGATAACCATTTGTTTATTTAATATTTGATTTTTAATGAACTTTCAATAATATTAGCAAAATTATTACTTACATTTTTTTTTACTTGGGGAAATCTTCAAAAGACTCCCCCACCTCTGGGAAGAGGCGGGGAGTGTGTTGGATTCAACAGACCAACGCCGAAGCGCGGGTCCATCGCCTACCAACTAAAACCACAAAAATTCCAACGCCGCACCCGTTAATGGGAGGCTCTGGGAACAGTTATTATTACATCCAAAGAAAAAATTATTACTTACAAAAAAGATATTACATCTAGTGCATACATGGGTCTGAGACGTCCGTGCGAGACTTGACTTGCTCGGTATTCGGCGATATATTGATCTTTATTAACAGCTCTGAGTCCCTCTTACTCTTGAGTCCCTTTTCTCACTTACTTTTTTAGAAATAGAGGCAGGCTTGCCAGTTTTACAGTTACGAGCAGATATTATTTTGGCTCGGACGCCGTAGACCCACGTACACGGAGGGTTAAATATGCATTACACATTACGTGGATAAATAGGTATATGTGTGTAATTATATTTGAAATTTCTATAAATTGCTTTACGTGTAATTTTATATATTTTCTTATTTTACATGCATATATATCTTTCTAAAACTAATATAATTATATATGATATAATTATAATACTATCATTATTTTATACAGGGTGCCCCGGGTTTTATCCGACAAACTGCGGGAGCATATTCTACAAGTAAAAATAAGAAAAAAATATTATATGAAGTTTGGCTAGAAATGCTTTATTATAAACAAAGTTATAAACAAATATTGAAACGGAACATGAAATAGGTAAAAATTATTACCTATTTGGATAACTCTTATTTTTTAAAGTTCCCCATAAGTAAAAATCAAGAGGCGTTAAATTTGGCGATCTCGCCAAATTTAAGTTAGAGGAGGTCAGAGAACCATTTTTACTTATTGGTTACCGACTACCACGGGATTCTAGAGAAGTGTAACTACGAAGGGTTAATACATTTTATTTTGAGTTGTATCAAATTTCAATAATTAAAATAAATGCTTATTTTTCAAGTTATATTAACACATGATATTAATTCTTTTAACTTGAATTATGTGTAACTGAAACATTTGATTTTAGTAAATTTAATTATTTTGTATGTCAAAGTTTACGATTATTTGAAGATTTACTTTCACTTTTGTTTATGTTAAAATAACTGTAAGATGTGTTAATTTTTTAAAATAATTGTATTAAAAGAACTCAAAATAATATTTAATTTTTAAATAACATATTGTATAAAGCGTTATCCACGTTGACATAAATGTAACACATAAAAATGTTAAGAAAATAATAACATAGCTGTTGTATGTTAATTTTACATTAAAATAATAATCAAATCTCGGTAACACAAGAAAATTTTAACATATGGACCGCTATGTACACACGATTTTTTATTGTGTGTATTCACTGAGAAAAAATATACTAATAAAAAGGAAAATTTTCTTTATTTAAATAAATAGAGTCACAGTTGTATACAAACTAATATTTACTCAAATCCAGAACATTTTTTCTCAATGTGGGATTTTCCATAACGGATATTATGATCTAATCTTTCTTATCGGAAAATTCCTATAGGCCTAGATTGGCTCTACGGCAAGTATCTCGATCTTTAAGCCTGTAACTGACCTCATCTCTGTTTGTAAGATTGGGTCTTTCTCAAGTATACATTTGCACTTGAGGCAAGTAACACGTCTGTCACGTTATTGCCTTTTTTCTGTATGGAGTTCAACTTACAGGCTTAAAGATCGAGAGATTTTTCGTAAAGCACCAAAAGTCTGGGTCTGTAGGAATTTTCCGATAAGGATTAGAGCATATAATATCCATTACGGAAAATTCCAACAATTCAAAATAAAAAGAAAAATTAACGATCAAATTATACAATACAGTAACGATTTACTTTACCAGAAATATTGCACAATTATTAAAATGTAATATTCATAATAAATGGTGATTGTATAATCTTGATTATATTCAACATCATAAATTATGTCATTCATACTGTACATTCTTCCTACAAAAAATTTCCAAAGAAACCGCTGCAGTATTTGATCGAGCCAGACAACGCGAGCATGGCGCGGCGCATCAGTCATTAAAAATAGGTATATATCAAAAATAGAATTCATCCATAACATAAAAAATATATATACTTTCAGAATGAAGTAAAGAATACAATAGCATTAATTTAAAAATTTTTAAAGTGAACTTTTTGATAAAAAAAATAATTGAACATTTCAATTGCTTGTATAACAATTGGAATTTGCAATTTCTTGTAACTTAAACTATTTTTTTTTTAATCTTAGCTTTAAAATGCATTTTTCTACGACAAATATAACCGGAAATATTAATTTTTAAAGTTGACAACTTTTTCACAAAAATTTATAATACAATTATATTGCTTATAACTTCTGCACAAAAATATTTCGAACAAAAAAATGCGTATTTTCTTATTTTATGTATATTTCACATAATGAAATGAAGAGAAGCTGAAGAAATGAAGTTGTGTCAGAGATTCTTTTCAATTAAGGCTAGCTGTCAAGCGATAGAAGGAAGGTAATTCGAATCAAGCTACCTCCATGCGGTACACCTTGGATAATCCTATAATGCCGGCGGTACTTGAAATTTGTCGACTCATATCTCGAAAAGTACTTAACTAAAAGGAGTTTTGTTGTAGTGTTTTGAAAAAAGCGCTCGATGTCAGCTACAAGAATATTAAATAAAAAGTTAAATAAAAGATTTATATTTAAAATTTTAAAATTGACCTTAAGAACTCCTCCATACTTACGCTCAAGGTCAAATAAGTATCGCCGTTTGATGCATTTGTTGATTACAACTTTTGAGCGCAATCAACAATCTTGATTTTTAATCATATTTGTAATCAAATTATGAAGATTTGTTTGACAAACTTGCGGCCCAAGTTAACTCCAAAGCATCTGACGGGTATAATATTCGCGCGAGTATTCTCGTCCAAAGCAAAACGGATTAAACTAAATAATTTCTTTAATTGAAAGTTTTTTACTCTATTATTTAAAGAAATAATTGAGTGTATACACTTAAACTGAACACACCGTATATTTTTATTAGTTGCGCGTAAAAATTAATATTAAAAATTTTAATATAAAAATATCAAAGTTCTAATAGTCTCATTCAGTTCTAATCTAAGCGATTAATTAACGCTATTTTTAACGTATTAGCATTTGAAGTTACACAGAACAAAGTTTATATCCTTCAATATGTAAATGGTACGCCGGGTACGCGTGTATGCATACCGATCGTTCTATCGATCATTAATTTTTATAGCTCTTAGTATTAAGGCTGGAAATAGCTAAGAGAATAAATTAACATAAATCTAAAGTATCAATCTATATCTTGACAAATCATGCACTACTTAAAGACATTGAAACCTGATTCTATTTGCAAGAAGAAAGATAGTTAATCCAGTGCATGTACTGTTAAATCAATATCAATAACATCAAATTATCATAAAATTATTCACGTATACGTATATTATTCACGTATACGTGAATAATTTTATGATAATTTGATGTCATTGATACAGTTATTAATGTTGTTATTAATATCTTTGCAACGACAGCTGAACAATAAGAGAAAGCGATGCGAGAAAGGGGCAACGATAAAATCGATTTAACGTCGAAAAGCCTCTCTTAAGCTTTGATATATTGAAATCGCTACGCTGCGCGCTGGCAAAATAACAAAGTTGTTGTAAAAAACATTATCACGGCGATAACTCAGTGTTAAAAAAATAACCGCTTTGATATGTTTCAAGTATTGTCTTTATCAATGTGTTGTTATTCTTTTCCAGATCTCGATTTCGCGTACAACATGTAATCATAATTGGCGCCGTCGTAGCCGCGTTAATAATTGCCATAATCATCGGTCTGTGCGCATACGCACGTAACATCACGTCGGACCCGCGAAATGATGAATATCTAGTGCCGCCCGATCCAGAAAGCTTCCAGCCACCATCGTGGAGCAAGTTGAGAACTTTCAAACGCGGTGCCGTTTGCGCGGACGGAGCACCATGCGCCGTTATCGGCAAGTATGTATGCCAATTTCACAAAAATGTAAAACTTGTTTTTCTTAATTTGCAAGAATATTCGACATAGTCGATAAATACCCTTAATTGATTCGCCGGGTCTTTTCAGATCAATCCTGGAACGCAATGGATCGGCGGTGGATGCTGCGTTGGCCGCGCTAATATGCAACGGACTCGTGAACATGCAAAGTCTAGGTCTCGGCGGTGGATTTATAATGACGATTTATCAAAGATCCACGCGTCGGGCCTTCGTTCTCAATGCAAGAGACCGCGCACCTTTGGCCTCAAATTCTACGATGTACGATGGCAAATCCGCAAATGCATCTTCGCTCGGTAAATCTCGACAAATTTTATAATAAACAATGTTTCAATCGTCTTCTCCGATGAAAGACCTTGATGGAAAAATGTCGCGGAATTTTTCACATTATTAATCAAAATTTCTACGAAAATTTTAAAACTTTCTCAGAATTTAAAGATTTTCTCGAATTTTTTAAATAAATTGGAACATCCTTCAGAAAAACTCAGACCAAATAATAATAAAATATTTCCGATTTTTCTCGCCAACATATCTTTGTAGAAATCTGAATAAATATGAGAAAATCTGCGCAATTTATCAGAAATTTTCATACATACTCAGAAAATCCTCATTCAATTATTTCTGAAAGTATCTGAGAAATTTAACACATTTTTCAGAATTTTTCATAAATCTAAAATATCTGAGAAAATGAGAAATTTTTTCACCAGGGTAGCGATTATGTAACTTTATCCCTAGGGCGGAAAGGTGAAAAGTGACAATTTCCGCCATTAACTTCAATGGTGAAACTTTTCACTTTTCACGTTTTCGCCCTAGGGGAAAAGATACATGATCAATCCTCAGGGGAGTATTTAATGCCAACGGATTTTAATCGACAGGTGCACTGGCGGTTGCCGTGCCCGGCGAACTGGCCGGTTACTGGGAAGCTCATCAACAATTCGGTAGATTGCCATGGGCAGATTTGTTCAAACCGAGCATCGAGCTCTGCGAAAAGGGCTACGTCCTGACATTAGTGCAATATGACGGCCTTGCGTATAATAAGAAAAGCATTTATAATGATCCAACTTTAAGGTACGAATTTGTCAAATGTAAAAAGAACCACGCATAATGAATGATGAGATATTTACAGTGGCGTGTATACGAAATATATCCCGTCATCAATCTTTTAGAGAACTATTTGTCGATCCCGCAACTAACAAATTCCGTAAACCAGGTTCCGTTATTAAACCCTACGCGCTTTGTGAAACGCTGCGGATTATCGCCGAAAAAAATGCGACTGAATTTTATAACGGTACGATCGGACGACTTCTCGTTAATGATTTGCAAGAACAAGGAGGAATCATAACGATGAAAGATCTTAACGAGTACAGGTAATTAATTAAAAGTATCAATTGTGCGTCACGAAGAAAACTCGTTCTTAAGTATATTACCTTTTCTATATCCTTTGAGAGTAAGTATACAATGCGATTAACAGTGCATAAGTTGTCGTTCAAGTTCTGATTGTCCTTTTCGGTTTCGATTATATTACAAACTATAATTATTAACAAAATTCCACTTGAATTTTCTCGCGAAAAATTACACTATTTTTAAACCACCCAACCTAGAAGTGCTCACCTATTGCAAGAATAGAGATGTGCGAACTATTCAAATTTGAATTTCTATGATTCGAATACGAATCATATATATTGTCAATTTTATAAAATTATATTTCCCGTTAATAAGCAAAAGTCATTAATAGACGCATTCAGTAAGTGCATTCAATATTACAACCGTTCACTAAGTGGCTAAGTAGCAGTCAAAAAGTTCCTTTCTAATCTTTGACACAGGGGAGATCGGGGCGGAGTCGTCACTACAATTATCTCGAAATCTGTATGTTGTGTGAACTCGCCATTAATATTGTAAACACTACTTATGGTGCTCATGTGACCAACGGAGTTTAGTGAGATTATATGCTATGTTGTTATTTTCATTAAGGCAAACGTGTTTTTCGGAGATCAAAAGTAAAATTTTTTGCGCGTCAAAAATTTTAAATATTTTAAATATTATTGTCTCTCCGAATCTCGAAATAAGTGATTCTGACGAGTAATGCATGCTGAACACAAATCCAGTGAAATTTTTTTATCTTTGTTGATTTCTAATATTTGATGAACGATTAAACTTAGGCCGGTATTCATAGTTATTTAAGACCGTCTTAAGTTCAATCTTAAGATGTCATGAACCAATCACAGAGCCGTATTAGCATCTTAAGACATTACTTAAGACGATCTTGAAGACTATGAATACCGGCCATTGTGTCCGGGGCAAAGTAGTCACTAATCATGGAGGCTTCGGGCGAAAATCAAAGTCAAAGAAGCAGCAGTGGTCGGATTCCGGCGAGGACTTGGATAATATGTGCTGCGTGTGCTCAGAGATGACAGAATAGAGCTGACGAGAAACAGTGCGTTTCGTGCGAGCGTAGAGCACATAAGTGTGTGCGCTTTTCTTGTAATTATTTTCCGCCATCGTGTTTTTAATTAATGTTTCCATTTTTCTATTAAAAAATAATTAATAAAATGTATTATTTTTATTTTTCATGATCGGAATTATGAATTTTTATTTAAAATCCAGTCCAAGAATGGAGTGACGATTCCGCCCCGGCAATTTTGACATTTCAATTTTTGCACCTTTGTCGTTTTCACTCTATATCAGTTGAACAAAGCGACGTAAACCAAAAATGTCCATATAAATTTTGTAGCCAAGGCTTCACTCTTTACAACAATATATCACATTTTACTAAAATTATTTGTTTTGTTGGTAAAAATCGGCACCAAAAAAATAGTGACGACTTCGCCCCGGTCTCCCCTACCCTGTAACCCTATCAAATTATAAGTAAAAGTTTGAATACGCGTAAAAAATAGTAATCTATGAGTATTGATAATAAAATAAACTATATTATTTTATTTTAATTTCTATGTATGTAATTGGATGTTATTGGATACTATATTAAAGTATTTTTCGGCTAATTGTTTTAGTTGCTGCGACGTTAAATAAAATATATTTCATTAGTTTTCTATTAAATATATTTTTTTGTACGTGTGCTTTAAAAAGAATTTATAGATACAATATTATTTTTTCACATTAAAATATTCTCTTATTATCTACGTGTTAAAATTCAATCTAATAATAATTATATTGTTAATTAAAAATTATATTTTAACAATTCGATTCGCTTCGATTCAAACAAAATTTTGTCGATTTGATTCGATTTGACGTCAAAAATCCTTGATTTGTAGTATTCGTACATCTCTATGCCGGAGAACATGAAATTATTTTGATTTAATTATTACCGCATTGCTGATGATAGCTCAAAGCAGAGCCGAAACATCCAATTTATAATTATCTTCTTAATAATTAAAATTTGTTACAACGCGTTAACTCTTACGCATTGCTATCTGCGTTGTACTCCCAAAGCCCACCTTTTACTTGTTACTTGTTAATTTTATTATTGCGCGAGAATCCTCAGTTATTTATTTATTTATACTACATCTTTGTTATCTTTATCCAGAGTTTCATGGGATCAACCGATACAGACAAATCTTTCGAGCGGAATAAAACTTTTGACTACAGGAATACCCGGTGGTGGAGCTATTCTCTCGTTTATTCTCAACGTCTTCGACGACTACGGCTTCACGCCGGCCAGCATAGCTGATTTTAACGCGACAATCCTCACGTATCATAGAATGATAGAGACGTTCAAATATGCGTTCGCGTTAAGGACGAATCTGGGCGACGGAGCTTTCATCGATATGACCGAGGTAAATACATATATCGAATTCTTCTTTTTTAATCTTGTGCTGGGTTTGTTTCAATCATAATTGTGCAGTATTTCAATCCCTTTGAAGATAACCAGAAACTTAACGTCGAAAAGTTTCGCGCACGCGATACGAGAGAAAATAGATGATACAAAAACGTGGCAGGATCCACGGCACTATGGTTCTCCTAACTATGCTATTGTTGAAGATCACGGTACCGCGCACGTGTCAGTGCTGGCACCGAATGGCGATGCAGTATCGGCTACCAGCACCATTAACTTTTAGTAAGCGGATTTTCACCTAAAGTTGCATCGTTTGCAAATCGTTAAAATATTCTTTCCGATTCTGACGATTTTGCAGTTTTGGAAGCGGAATAGTCAGCAGAAGAACCGGCATTTTGTTAAACAACGGCATGGACGACTTCAGCATTCCGTCGCAGTTCAATTATTTCGGTATGCCGCCAAGCCCCAACAATTATATCGCACCTAAAAAGCAGCCATTGTCCTCGATGGTGCCGTCCGTTCTGATCGATCGGCACGGTGATGTCAAGATGGTCATGGGTGCCGCCGGTGGTACGAGAATTTCCACGGCAGTGTCACAAGTCAGTATAGCACCTTAAATATCTAATAGTCCGGATTCAGGTTTCTATTTAGCCGAGATTAATAAATCAATGGACAATTTTCACGAATAAAGGCCTCCAACGCTTTCAGGTGACTGCAAAGATACTTTGGATGAAGCAAACAGTCAAGGAGGCGGTGGACTCAGCAAGAATACATCACCAGCTATTTCCGTCAAAGCTGTCTTACGAGTATGGGATCCCTAAGCAGGTGGTCGACGGTCTGAAACGTTTGGGACACGTCGCGGAACGTTACAGGGTCCGCGGCAGTGTAGCCTGCTTCATACTGTACGAAAATTCCACAATTTTTGCCAACGCCGATTACCGCAAAGGCGGCGACGTCTACGGAATCGATTGATTCACGTGCGTTCACATCACCTTGTCGATCCAGCCGTCACCTTGCGGCACAAATCTTTCGTGAAGAAGGATAACCGACGTTTTTTTGTTCAAACAGCGCCGAACGTTTCTTCGTGATTATCATAAACATCGACGTACGCGATCGATCTTTTTATCATACGCATCAATATTATCGTTCAATATAACTTTTACGTCTTCTCGCTCACTAATCGCATTTTATCCATGCATCGCTCTTCCTTCCAACAATATCCACGTATCTCGGATTTATTATCCTCCCTTGAACCTTCATGATATTTATTTATGCAAAACAGATAACAATGTAAGTACATGGAAACTGACGAGTTTCTTTTTCACAATTATAATATTCGATTCGAATTTTCAGCGCAACTGTTCGATATTTCGTGGACGTGACACTACTTATTGAAAACCTCTAGTCTTGCCATGCTTTTTATAGGCATAGAGCCTTGATGAAATGCCGCGATTTATTTCCCGTTTTAAATTACTCCACGTATCAGATGTTCCACCTCAATTACCATCGTCGCACATCCCAAATGAGTCTTTGCAAAATTTCCTAAAAAATTTTTCTGTTATAATTTTTGTACCAGTAATCTTTTCACTCAATAAAAATGTATTTTAATAATACACCTTGTGACACACTGTCTTGTGTCGGCTAGAAGGAAATTATTTCTCGTATTCTTGGTACGTCACTGCGTATCCCTCCTTCTTCTAGTCTTCTTGCTTCGGGGTCATGGAGCTTTCTACAACGCCAAGGCGGCGCGGCGCTCTGGAAGCGTCATACAAATATAAAGCTGGATACACAATGCTAGGCGATAGCGATAGCGTGATAAAATATAACCTGAATATATGGTAAGGAACATAATTTATCAAACATTAATTTATTAAAATTAACATTAAAACTGGAAACGCGCATCTCAGCAAAAATCTGAACGCTGATTGGTTAGATACAAGGCAATAGATATAAAATTACAACTCGTCGGAAATTGCTGTCGCTATCGCTATCGTCTAGCATTGTGCATCCAGCTTAAGGCATTGCATTAGCGATTCCCCTACTACAGCTCGATGAAACCTGTTCCCGCAACCATCCAGGAGGATTCTCGGCTAGTCGCGTCAGTTGCCAGTTTGAGAGCAGACTGAGGACCGATTTAATGCCAACTATCAGGATCAAATCGATTAACGGCACCACGTGTCCGCGTTCAATTTTCTTTCGTCTGATCATCGCTGTCCTTCGAATTTGATCGACGATTTCCTTCGCACGGTATTTTTATAAATGCCGAAAGTAAGAAGGAGAAAGAGAAAAGGAACCGTGAACGAACTTTGTCATATCTGCTGATTTAGCGAATATAGCGCGTTCTACAAGCTATAATTAAACGTCACCTTGTGTGGCGAGAGGAGTGCGTATGAGAACGAGCACGTATTCCGCGCCTAGTTGAGATAATCCGTCGTCCGTATCAATACTCGACCTTGAAAATAAAACTGCGCCGTGAACAAAAGAGGAATTCGATTATTTGAGTATACAAACGATATGCCAGATTCGCAGGCGCGACATTTAATAACACCTGATGAACCTAAAAAATGATGCGACGCTATTGTATATAAAGAATGTTGGATAATCGAATATAACCATTCGAATATAAAACATCTGTTTTTGTATAGTTAATTAATAGCAGTGATATCATCTTGAATAAACATTATACATTCTCTCGCTGCAAAAACACACACTGCCGCGAATTACGGACTTCGCAACGTGTCAAATTTTCCCGTAAATAGCAACACTGACAATGAGGGAAAATGTTTGGTATTTGCGACTATAATTGCATAGTAAAATAATTATGATTGGGTTCTTATTTTTATAGTTATTATTGCTACAATATTGGTAAAAATAACTTTATATGCTCAATCTTGCAATTATGGTCATATTGTTATCGTACGATTATTATAGTACTTATACTATACACAAATCGCAAGTTAGAGTGTATAAAACTATTTATATGGTTGAATAAATGTATCTTAAAGCTATGAAAATAATAATGGGTGCTTTTCATTTAGTGACACAAGAGTTATTCTGTTCTTTTTCAACGTCTAGTGAACAACAAAGATAGAGTGACGCTTGACTTGTGTCGTTAACTGGAAAGCACCCAGGTAGAATAGAGTCAACTATAATTCGCATTGTTAAAATAACTATTATAAAAATGTAGTTAGTACCAAAAATAACTAAAAATTATAATAAAATTGTGATAATTGCAACTATTATTTTTTTTCTCAATAAAATGTTAGAATACGATATTATTTATCTTTACTGCCCTCATCGTAACGTTATTCACAATTCGTATTGTTATTGACTTTCGCCAACGTCGAGGGGAAATTTCCGTAAATTTCTGCCAAATAAAACTCAGCTGTAAAACAAAGTTACAGGACTCGTTACTGCGATCGCGCGATCAAGAGCAAGATGATTAAAAAATACGGAACTATATAATATATGAAATGTCGTCGGTGGCGTGACGTCGTCTGTCTTTCACGCTTCGGTAGCTTCGCTTCGCGTCGAGCATCGTACGACATAGAAGCTCGATTGATTGCGCGTGTGTTAATGCGTGATATCAGCTTTCCTCCGCAACAGCACCGAGTCGGTGATATCTATAACCCGGCTCGGTGAATGTAACAACAAAATATTTCCCGAGTTGTTTACGTCCCCGTTACGAGCGGGCACCTCCGCAAGGTAGATTGCAAGTGTCACGTACTTACGTCTTACTCACAAACGATTAGAATACAACGTGACACGCACTTTCCTATCGGCAATGCACACGTTGATTCCTTAACACTAGAACTACCAAGGGGATCAAAATGACTTGTTTAAAATTTTTTTAAATTATTTATTTTTAAAACATCACAATTTTTGAAATTTTCTCTGACTTTTATTGAAATATACAAATATAAATAAATTTATAAATTTATAAATTTGTAGAAATTGGTAGAAATAGGTATAAGTTAATCTTCGGTAGTTCTAGTGCTAAATACTCGTATACAACTAGTCGTTTTTATTCCTTTCATTTTGTTCTTTTCTCTATCCTCTCTCATTCTCGCAAATTTTTCGAATTTGCAACGGCGTGGCTGCGCGATTCCTCAATGTTCCATTGAATAACCAGCAAGATAAGAGGAAATATATCACTTTGAGTAAACTGCTCTCGGAAACCACAAACGCGCTCTGCTAAAAACAGCGCACTATTGTGCGGTCGTACCGACGCTGAAAATACACGCTCTATAGAACTCGCGGAAGGCAATGCACTTGAGTGTCGGGTGGGCTTACGTGTTGGAATTTTCTAGGTCGCGTCGAACGTATAGATTAGCCACGTGAGTAAGGACTACTGGGTGCAACGCCGCAACGGGAACGAAGATCTGCGTACGAAGAAAACCGTATGGAAGACTTGCGATAACATTATTAAATTATATTCCGCTATGTCGCTGAATATCCGATCATGCTGCAAACGGCAACGTTGTGTCCGACGACTTCTCGCTCACGTTAAACTATTTCATCTAAATTAATCTTCAATATATGGTTCATACAGATAACAATATCTATAGAAATTATCGGACACGTATTGCTCGTATGAGCTAGCTAATGGAATACGCGAAATAAGTTAAGATTAAGAGTGATTTCGACCAAGCTCCGAATGTAATTGATTAATTCAACCGGCAGTGTTGCTTAAAGCAAAATCATATACAATAATTCTAGTTATATCTTGAGAGAGCGTTTTTCTTGCCTCTATTAATTTTATTCTATTCATATCAACAAAATAAGTAATAAGTTAATAAATAGATATTTCTTGATAAGTTAGTCGCTAAGTTAATGGAGGTTTAATCAAAGTCACTCTTTAAAATTTTTGAGAAATTACGACTAAATACGTACATTCGCAGGCTACGACGACGCTTCCAGAATGACTGCCCAATAACAATACGCGGCGCGTATCCTTATTTTGTTGCCGTTTTATCTGTCCGGTTATTTCGTCCTTGAAAATATTTTAACACTTCTGAAAATAAAAATAGAAACATATTAATTCTTATCGATGTTTCCACGAGCGAGCGATATGCCTATAATAGGGGAGACCGGGGCTAGTTGGTACACTTTTTTTTAAAGATTTTTTTACACGTAACTAATAAATAGAATACAAGCCGCAAAAGGATTTTTCAATAGACGCATGCTTATACAACATAAAAATTATTTTTTTAACTAAATAGTATAATTAATTTTGTTGTACCAATAACAATTATTAGGCGACATTTGTAACAACCAGCTCCACATACGGGGTAAGTTGTTACAGTACTGGATTAAGTTGCGAAAGACCTAGTTTTCAAAGTATAATGTATTTAATAAAAAAAAATAACAACATATATGTAACAATATGGGTTATATTACACTTACATTGTTGAGTGCAAAATTATAATATAAATGTAATTTAACTGATGTTCTGTATTGACTGGTTCTGATACGTAATAAGAAACGTTAACGATGAAATCTTACATAAGATTAAAATATCTGCCGCTGTTATGCCGAAATTATGTGTAACATCGACGGAGTTGGTCGAAATTATAATAAGTAGAACAGCAGTAACAACTTGCCCCGTCACAACCAGCCCCGACCTGCCATATTTAGATATTTTGATTATTGTTTAAACAAAAAAATGTTTTAAGACATTAACATAACTGGAAGTTATTACGTTTAAAATAGAGATTTTAAAGACAGTTAGAATTATGATATAAATGACCAGATTTATAACCCTATTCACTCCAACGTTTTTTCCGCCCCTTTATTCCTTCAACCATGCACTTTCGATTTCCACGTGTTTTTCAAAATGTTAATAGCTTTGAAAAATTCCCCAAAAATTATTATAATATCTTTGTACCTTCGACTAAAAAGCAATGTAAAGAAAATTTGGAAATTATTTATTTAAATATTTTTTTACAACAATTATATGTTGACAAACAAACGTTACGACTCGTTTTACTTAAAAAATCATAACTCACGAACAAATTGACGAACCTTAATGAACCAAAACGCAAATTAAAGCTAAAAGTAGTGCAAATGAGAAAAAAATGAGATAATTATTAATTAAATAGGAATACTTAATTTCGTCGCCGCAAATTTGGTAATTTTTAAATGGTACAGAAGAACTTTAAAAACTTAAAAAATGCTGGAAAAAGAATTTCTGAATAAGAAAAGGCGAATTTAAAGTGTGACAGATATTTTTTATGTAAAAAAATTAATTTTTTTTATAATTGTAGCTCCTCCCCACCTCTTCCACCTGCCTCTGAGCCATAATAGACCTCTGTGGAATGTTAAATTTTGTTTTAACAACAAAAATATTTTAAATACGCTTAAATTATACACAAAAATACATTTTTATCGAAAAAAAAATGCTCATTTACCTTTCACACAACACTGACGTAATCCTCCAACCATGCACTTTCGTGTCCCACCGAGATTTTGTTTGTTTGCCGTTTCGAGAGTAAATGAGCTAGGACTTTGAAATTTTTACCTGAGGTTCTCTGCCACAACAACTTTTTTTAGGAGTGGGGGGATTATCCCACGATCATTTGTTTTCCGGAACAAACGACTGTTAGAAACTCGTGGGACACGAAAGGCATGGTTGGAGTGAATAGGGATAAATATAACATTTAATACATCACTGATATATTTTACTTTTGGCTATACAAAACTAAAACTATTTTCTGTTTGTGAAAATACGCTACTCAGCCTAAAATAACTAATGGAAATATTATCGCAATGTTTTTGCGGAAATACTATATTTTTTATGCAATATTATCTTTTGTCACTTTTGCAATAATTGCCGTGTACCTACCTGCCCCATGTACCAATTAGCCCCGGTCTCCCCTACGTAACATTGTCGTAACGTTGCGCCGCGTACGTACAAACTTTGTATGCCTCGCGATTTGTTTATTTCTTCCTTTGCAGCTGATATAGATAATCCAAGTCCGCAGTTGCATAATTTTTTACGAAAAAGCCAGGTCAAAATGAGACACTTCTTGATACGTTATCGGAGTCGTGAAGGCCACGCATCTCGACACGCAGATACTACGCAGTTGCGCGAACTTGCATGAACTTGCGCAAGGGAAAACAATTTCCTTTATTTTTTTTCCACGCGGAATTAATTAAAGAAAAATATTAAATATTAAATTTGTACCGTGCCATCGAGGGACCGTGTCGCCGGCGAAGAAGCACCGGGCCTGGTACGCCGGCAACGTCGCGCGAAGTGCGCATGTACGGCCCGCGCGAACGGGTCGCTGGTAACTGGTAGCTGGTATATAAACTCGGGTCGGCGAACGCCGCGCGACCAGTGTCGAATCGATCCTCCCGGTCGAGTCGTTACACGAGCGTACCATTTCGCGCAATCTGCGTCGCGCCGCGACTTTCCTTTCTTACAAGCATCCCCGAGAAATCGAATCTCGTGAACTATGTCCGAGGCGCACGTCGACGAGTACGAGCACTTCAACTACGACTACGACAAGCACATCTTCACCGCACACGGCGGTAAACAGAGGAGCAAACGCGAGGCCGTCGCGCATACGAATCACTTCGACCCGAGCGGCCATTCTAGAAAGATCCTCACCAAGCTGATGAACACTGAGCACAACAAACGGCAGACGAGCAAGAGCAAGGCGTAGAGGTGAGGCCTCGCGTCGAGTCGATTCTACTTGAATGCTCGTGCTCGAATTGTCGATACATGATCCGGTGTAATCAATTCACGATCGTTTTTATTCCCGAGCAAGAATTACGCGATTCACTTCAGCTCGCAGCGAGATTCGAGCACATTCGTTCACTTTACGCCGAAGGCCGAAGTTGGTTGAATATCTTGAACGCAAGAATCGCGATATTCATATGTAGCAACCTTCAAGGCGGTACTTACAGAAATTACAAATAATTAGTAATTTTCGTCTCCGATTTATTTCGATAAGTTAAAATTCGTTAACTTAACAGAAATTATTTTTAATCATTCTGCAGTATTTTATCAATTTTTAAACATTTCTGTGTGTATTCAAAAAGATAAAAGGATAGAACAATGGAAAAATCAGAACAACACGGTCGCGTTTAGCCCATTTTCTTTCTTACCGCGTTCGCTTGCTTTCATTCCCAAGTGAAAATGACGCGATTTGTTTTTATCTCGCAGCGAGACTTGCTCCTTCACGCTGAAGGCTGCTATGCGTGAAGTCAGTTGAATATCTTAAACACAAGTACCTATGGCTGATATTTCATACGTCGTACTGATTGACTACAAGATAGAGAATTTCTAGAAACTCGATAATTTCTCTATCCTGCAGCCAATCAACATGCTTAATAAATTTGTCATACGACACATGAAATATCAGCCTATCTCGATCGTAT